GATCCCAAATCTGGCAATTGATCTGACCCCGAATAGGCCCCATCCACAACTATCTGCAAGGTTTCTAAGTACTGGAAGAAGTACCAGTGCAACCCAGCCATGTTTCCACACAGAGCTGCAGCCAATGTCCACAGCTTCAGGGGAAGATGGGAGAAAATGCAGAAACCGAATGAAGCATTCGTAGCAGGGGGAAAAAAAACCTTGCTAGCCATGAAGCTTGGAATCACCGGAGATCTCCTGAATAGGATCGATTTTCCTTTAAACATGTTCCTGGGGATAGCAGGTACTCAAGTCCGCTCATCACATGCCCTGTTCACTACCCCAGGAACACCCTGACTCTGCCATGCTATCCCTTCTCGTGGGCAAAGCTGGAGTAACCTGCTCATCTGGAAAGTCTCTCCCTGTCCCCCATCTCAGGCCATGAAGCAGGAATTAGCTTTGCTTCTCACCGCACTATTGAAAGGATAATTGTACCTATAACTGTAATTATCTACTAATCTCCATAACACTGGCTATCTGCAGGCAAGACACGGGCAGCCCACCCATGACACACAGCTTGGCACAATCTTCCCAGGGCTCCTTAGCCACTAGCAACTCTCAACAGCCTCTAGCACTCGCATAGCACTTTTCATAGGTGGATCTCAAAGCACTTTACAAACAAGGTCAGTAGCACTGTGCCCATTTTACAGATGTGGACACTGAGGTACAGAGCAGTAAAATGACTTGCTCAAGGTCACCTGGCAGGCCAGAGACAGAGCTAGGACCAGAATCAAGGTTTCCCAAGTCCTAGGCCATTGTTCTGCCTTCTGTCCTCCTTTCACATCTGTTTTCAGGGTTTCCCTGCTCCCTGAACTCATGCCAATGAAAACTACTGTGATCTAAAAAAATGTACAGGCCTCATTTCAGCAAGGCCTGTTTCCTGAATCCGGACTGGAAGGTAACTTGGGAACAGAATGCCAGCCTACAGCCAGAGAGCAGAGCAACAGCCTTCACACCCCCTGGGTTGGTATCACCTGTGAAATCCCAAGTTCTTTGCCCAAGAGTTCCTCCTAGTGAAGAAACAAAGTATTGCAGCACGGGAAGTGAAGAGGCACAGCGGGGCAGGGGAACCCTTGCACTGGAGAGTGACACCTCCCAGAGCGGGGCATCCAAGGGACAGGACACGCTGTCAGCACAAGGAGCAGGGACCCTGCATTTCAACTGCCGCTTAAAGAGCACGGCTTGCAGGAGCCCCCGTTGCATGGAAGGAGCACAAGAAAGGAGACTGTGTGCTTCGGGGTGCCTGGGAGAATTGTAGGTGCCCGTCTAGATGAGTGGATGCGTGTGCAAGATGGTTAGTATGGCAGAGCGGTGGTGCTAGTTCGAACATATGCTCTTATGTAACCATGTGTGCAGGGAGACACCAGCGGGTGCATGTTTTGGCTTTATCAATGTCCTTGCAGCTGGTGTTGGCAGCTGAAGAAGGAGGGTGGGGTTTGGAGACAGGCCCTAGAGTACTACCATGAGCTGATAACGCTGGCACAGGACCCTAGGTAAGCATCTGGTTACACTGCCCAGCCTCCTGCTCTCTCCCCCGTTACTGGTCAGAATTTCAGGGCCACAACAGTTGGAAGGAGCTGCAAGCCCTGTTCTCTTGGCAGGCAAGAGAGGTCATCAAGGTAAAAAAGGCCAGAAGTGTCAAGGAAAATACACAGGCCAGGAGCACGCAGCTCAGCTTCTGGGTTCTGCAAACATTCGGTGGAGAGAAAGCCGACCTGCCAAAATCAAGCGTGAGCTGCCCATTAGCTTACTCGGCATGGCATGGTCATTCAGCAAGAGCTGGCACAGTGCATCTAGGCCAAAGTCTGAGCCTGGAGAGCCAGATGGAGCACCAAGAAAAGCTGGGTATTTTCCTAGACACAGCTCTTTGTAATGCTCCCCGTGATGCAGATCCACTCATATTGTGTGTTTTGGTAGGAATCCATTCTACACAGACCTGTGGTTATCACCGTAAGAGAGGCAGTATGTCTAGTGATGTGACTAAGGAGTGAGAGTCAGGACTCCTGGGTCCTAATGCAGACGGAGGGAGAGAGAGAAAGGGTGTAGTTACGTCATGAAGTGCCAGGAATCCCAAATTCTCTTGAGCCTTGTTAACTGTCGGCTCTTTTACTTGATGCTTGAAAAGTGCTTTGTGAGTCTCTGATGCATGGCTCGTTTGGCATGTGTATTAAGTGTCAGCTTCTGTTACTTTTAAGGCATTCTCTCAGGGCAGTAATGGAGTTGCCGCTTCATTTTTTTTTTAATTACACAAGGGATTCTAGGTGAATAGGATCCATGTAGAATAGGGTCAAGACAGTCTCCTTTTTTTTGCCTTTTGCCAAGCAAATGTCTCCGTACCAGTAACAGAAGCAGGGCAATGGTTTGGAACAGTTATTCATAACTGATTTCCCTTCTGAACTTTCCAAACCAGGACTCAGGACCAGATCCAGCAAAGGACTCAAGCACCTGCAAGTTCAGTGCCATAAAGCCCAAAACTGGAACCCATCTAGTCCTGTGTGAGGTGTCAAGGCTCCTGATACAGAGAGTTGGGGCAGCTGGGAATGGATCTAAATTAGTCTGCAGGCTTAGAAGGAGGAGGCTAGGAGGGCATCTGAAACATCATCCTGCCCTGTCTGCAGCTGAGGTGCCTCTCTCAGGAACTGCAGGAATCTGCAGGGATCTGCTGCCTGAAATCATCCCCTGAGCCTTCTCAGGACTGTCTGTCTCTCTTACACCAAGTGGTCACTGGTAAAAAGCATGGGCTGTCTTGAGCACTGGAGCTGGGATCCAGGTCTCCCCGCTCCCAAATGAGTGTCCGAACCACCACAGTCCCTTTGTGCACTCTCTTCCTGGCCCAAGGAACCAGGAATTCTTGTTTGCACAATGGCACAGCTGGAATAGAGGGGTGGGTGACATCTCCCCGCCCCGACTGTTACTATGCCTTAGCCTGGTGGTTAGGGCAGGCTTCTAGGTAACAGGTTTGAACATACCCAGGCTGAGGAGGGAACCCTGCTATCCCTCTTCCTGGACAAGCCTCCAGCCACTAAGATAATATTCAAAGGAGGGCAGCATTGCTGCTTCAGGAGATGGAGGTGGAGGAATGCCTGGTTTCTGGGTTTCAATCAGCTTAGGAGGGAGCTGCTCAGACCTGGGCAGTGATGGCCTCTTCAATCACAAATGAAAGGTGCCAGTGGAGGGGACGAGGCAGCTGAGCAGGGTTGTCTGAAATGCAAGCTTGGACCTGGGCTCAACAATTCTGCCCAAGTCTTGCTTTAGTCACCAAGGTGTCCAGCAGAATCTATTACTCAGCTCCGTCCCTATGCTTCTTCACAAGCACCGCAGCACGGCTTAGCTTTGAGTCACAGGACTGCTCGAGCCCTACATTGGCTGGAACTACCTCTGAAATATTAGATATTGCACACAGTTCAAAGCAAGGCATCAGACTGGAGGAAACTAGTGCTCTGGTCAGACATTGCGATTCCTATAGCCTCATCAAATAAAACAAACAGCAATAGCAATAATAATGGCACGTACATCATGTCTTTCAGACGAGTGTAACTTAGACCCATTGTGAAGTTAGCTCATGCTTTCCAGCGCACAAAACGGGAAGCTGAGGCACAGGGAACATTGCCAATAATTCACTCGGTGATGTCAGGTAGAACCAAAATAAGACCTAGCAGACTTGCACAGGGCTCCTTGCTTTAACCACAACACTACACTCCCATGCTGTGCTTCTACCTGCTTCTCCTTTGCAAGCACTTCCTATTGCCTGGGAAGTTTGAGGTTCTAGTCCTGAACCTCCAAGCTGGCTGGCTTTTGCGGGGGGACTTCTCCTAGACTTGGTGGCTGCTGATACATTACATCAACAAAGTGCTACCATTGTTCAGTACTCTGATCTCTTGCTGGGTGCTCACATGCCCACTCAGCCTTTACTGCTTCTGCTCGTCCACAGTCATGTAGCCCATTCAGTCCTGCCCTGAGCCTCATAACAGACAAATTCTAGGCTGATAAAAAATAAGACACATAGTGAGTTCATTTGTGACACCCATGAGATGTGCCATTCTTTCCCTGGAGATTTACATGTGCCGTATTACTAGTAGGTGCCAGCTATGTCAGGTGATAGGTGGATAATGAGTACACTAAGCTGCTGGCATGGATTCTGACAGGCTATGCTGATGCCTGATGTGACAGCTAAGTACCAAGGTGTGCGTATGAACTCAGGTATGCAGAGCTACTGGAAGGAAGGAAGAAGCCATGTTTCCTTGTGGTTTGAGATTCAGCTTCTGCTCTTACAGATGTTTTTGGTTAAACCTGACCCATTGCTTAGCTATGGGCAATAGCAGTGTGCTGGGGGGGTTTTGACGCAGACCAGCTAAAGCTCTCACTCCAATTTTCACTCAGTCGCACTGGGTCAGGGTCATGGCAAGGTTCGCCAGCAGATCCTATCCTAAGCTACCAGTTTCAAGCGCTGTCTCAAGTCCGCATTCACAGCCCCCTGCAATCTGTACTCATAAGGATGCAGGTTTTCAGACGTGCTGAGTTCCCGTATCTCCAGGAGGAAGCTGCAGGGGCTCAGAAAAATCAGACCCTGTGCCTTTGGCAAGACAACAGACATCTCATGTTAGCCAGCTAACAGACAGAAAACCTGTCACACCTTTGCTCCAGCACTTTTGGGCAGACGTGCACACCTGCCTTTGGTGGAGAAATTACTGCGTCACTGCTCTGCCCGTTCTGTCACTATTTGCACAAGGGAATTCACACACACTTCAAACTCTGCAGCGATCTCTATCTTTAACAAGCAATCATCCAATCACAAGTAACCACTTCACAGTATCCCCAGGTTTTTCAGTATAATTATATTCAACCTGCCTTTCTTCAATCACGTTTTGCTGGTTGCCTAAGCTGACATGAGATCTTTCTCTCTCTCACTCTGTTTCAAAGTACACTTTTACAGTGATAAAGCGACCACATTAGCTTCCTACCTTTCTTGATGATCAACAGATTGACTTCTCCGGATGTTTTTCCTGTGAGCAATCCCAGCTTTCTCCTACTCCACCCCCTTCTTTTTCCGTATGTTACTACTTGCGGTGCCATTGCTGCTTTAGCCAGAGCCGGGTGGAAGCTGTGTTACGATCTGAAACAAGTGAGATCAGGACCTTTAATTTCCAGCGTGGCAGCTGTTGTTTACATTCTTTGTTGTTTTTTTTTTTTTTAACACAGTTATTGGTCTCTATGATGCTCTCTCTCTCCCACACATGTACTTAAACAGGAAACAAGGGGTGGGCGCTGCAGGAGGGGGGGTTTCCTGTTCTTTAGCTTCTGAAGCACGTAACTGACTTTCTCATGTTTGCCAAAATTGAGATCAAAAGATGTGAACACCCGAGAGAAGCGAAATTAAACTCCACTAAAAGCACACTGCTTACTAAGAGACAAATCTGAGATGTTCCCCTCATTAGATAAGCCCTAACAAGCGACTTAGACTCTTCACGTGAGATTAAGAGGCATCCTTTGTAGATGCAAACTTTTTTCCTGTTGGGGGACAAACTCAGCAGCACCGTTTTTTGGCTGAGACAGAGATCCCGACCAGCCACGACTATCAGAGATCCCATGACGCTTCTTAGTACAGCAAGGACATCATGTCCAAATCCTTACAGCAAGGACGTCATGCCTGAATCAACGCTACCAACGGGACGTCATGCCCGAAACAACACTACCAACTGTTGAAACTTAGCTGACTTGGGGAGGGGTTATGTGGCAACTGATGATCAGCACATAGTGCCCCTGCACCACATTTTAGGTAGTTCAGAAGACAGTATCTAGTTGAAACAGTGGAGGGGAATGTATGGTCTTATAGGCTAGAAGAGGGCGATTCCCCTGTCTTTGTCTGCACTGTGAAGGATCCAAAAGATTTTTGCAGATTGTATGAATGCCAGGCAGTTTGCTGTGGCAGTGATGGTGGTAAAGAGATAAAGTTGAATGTGTGGTCACAGTACAACAGAAGAGATGGAATCAGCAGGGCTCAGCAGCAGCATTGGTGCTACCCTGTCCTGCATAAAATAGACATGGGTGGATCTGCGATTTTGAAAAGGGAGACATCGATTGTGTTGCACACCATCACAGATAACACAACACATCGTTTTTTCTCCAGCTAAAGAGAAACTAGAAGCTTGATTAATATACTAGGGTGCTAGCACAACATTATTCAGTTTAAGATCAAAGCAAAAACAAATATAACCATTGGAACGTGCAGTGATTTGCTAGATTATGTACTAGTTTAAGCACCCCCCCCATCAAATTAGGCAAAAATCATCAAAATAGTCAAAGAAGATATTGTCGCTAGTGCCCTAGGCATTATAGTTAAATGTGTCTCAGTCAGATTCATAAAACAAAATCTAGCTGTCTTGAGCATCTAAACAGCACCTCCAATATTTCACTATCAGTTTCTTTTTACACCCAAGTTAATAGGACCACGCCTGAGTTAAGGTATTTACCTAGAGCTGAAAAGAGTCTGTAGGGGCTGTGAAATAGGAGGCTGACATGACCAGGAGCAGCAAACAGACAGCTCTACTGCAGAAAAAAAGATAGTTTGCATAGTGGAACATCAAGCCCATTAAAAATGATGGGGAGGGTCTTTAAACACCTGTGGAGAGATTAGTAGGAATCATAGAAAATTCAGGTTGGAAGGGACCTCAGGAGGTCACATCTAGTCCAACCCCCTGCTCAAAGCAGGACCAGCCCCAACCACATCATCCCAGCCAAAGCTTTGTCTAGCCAGGTCTTGAAAACTTCTAAGGATGGAGAGTCCACCACCTCCCTGGGTAACCTGTTCCAGGGCTTTACTACCCTCCTAGTGAGAAAATTTTTCCTAACATCTAATCTAAACTTCCCTTGTTGCAACTTGAGCCCATTGCTCCTTGTTTTGTCATCTGCCACCACTGAGATCAGTCCAGCTCCATCCTCTTTGCAACCCCCCTGCAGGGAGTTGAAGGCTGCTATTAAACCCTGTCAGTCTTCTCTTCTGCAGACTAAATAAACCCAGTTCCCTCAGCCTCTCCTCATAAGCCATGTCCCCTGTAACAAGGGGGTTTCTCAGGGCCAGTCTACCAATGGCCCACCCACCTGTTTCTGGACCAACTGCTCACCTCCTCGCCTGCCATGCCTGGATGATAGATAATTATGATATTGATTAGGTGGGAGGCTGCCCATTTCTTGCCCCGATGCCAGGAGGCACTATCTGCAGCTCCATTCCTCCCCTACACTGCAGCCCAAGCCTCGCAGATGGCATCCACAGTTGTTAACATCACCAGCCCTACACTGGGCCCCAGAATCCTCCAATCCAAACTCCAACCAGATCCCTCCAATCAGGTGGCTTACTCCACCCTCATTCTGGGCTGCCTAGCTCCCTGAACTGTTTCCCCTCTTGGGTGTGATCCCCCTGGGACCTTTGGCCACACAGGCCCTGACCTCACCTCCAAGGCCAGTCAGAAACCCCAGGACCTCAGCTCTGGGCAACCCTCGCAGCGGGCCCCTGGCCCCTTTTAACCATTCTGGTCCTGGCCCCAGCACTGACCAGTCGAGGGTATTCTAAGTCAAGCTTCTGAGTCTATAGCCCACTCTCTAACCTGGGTCCGCCTTCTTGGTCCTACCATGGGGTAACTCACCTGGGTGAGGGAGCTGGGGTTATTAAGGTGCCCCAACCCACCTTTCACCAGGGTGGTAAGTGGCCTGGCATTTTCTGGGGGCTTCCGCACCACTGAGAGCCCCACCAGGCCACCCACTCCTGGCAGGGTGCAGTTTTAGGTCATGCCCAGGACCAGGAGTCTCCAAAGCACCCCCTCAAGCTCCTGCCCTTCCCTCTAGGCTGCAACCTTGCAGCCAAGTGATGCTTGTGCCTGGCCTGCCAGCAGCGAACTGCTCTGTTTATATAGGCGGCCAGAGATCTAAAATGGCCATCGCA